AGGCCCTGTTCCCACCAACGGCTTCCTGTCAATCACAACCTTCAGGTCTATGTTGTAAAAGGCTTCGAACACCCACTTCGTGTTGGGCCTGTCGGTTTTTTCATTATTGAGATGCAGTTCTTCCTGCTGGTTAAGCCATTTTTCCACGTCTTCCAGTTTGTCAAACCACTGTGAGCCCTTGGGGTTCGAGTAGTACACGATCACAGTCCCATCCTCAATGTTGCGCAACTGATACGCGAAGACGTGCCTCAGATAAAACGACGTGCTTATTCTCTCACGAATCCTCGACATAAAGTCTGGTGTTAGGTTTCTCCCCAGACGTTTGATAAAGCGCCAGCGAATGAAACGCTGGCCTGTAGTCTCTTCTTTCGCTTCTTTCTCTGCGTCATCGAACAGATCCAGAATCTCCTTCTGGTAGTCTGTCACTGTTCGGGTTTTCCGCGCAGGGAAGGGGTCGTACTCCCTCAGAAGAGCTTGTGCTTTTCTCGGCTTTCTTTGGCGTGGAGGGGCTCTTGGCTGGTAAGGCTTCAGAAGAAGTGGCTTTTGCAGATGCGCCTGCATTTCTTGAGAAATTGGTTCATCCAGCACATTCTGGACAACCTTTCTTACCGCTGGTGCATTTTCTGCAAGATGTTGGTCGAAATAACGCAATACCACGGGATCAATTTTTTTCGAGTTCTTCTTTCGGTCTTTCTTGGTTGTTGGAAGCCATAGTTCCTTACATTAACCCAAGGTTTCATTTCTCTAACTGATGTGCTTTCTTTCTTTCAGCTCGAGCAAAGCAAGTTCAAAAATTTTTTTTGTTTTTGCACGCTTGCGGATAAGACGTTGTTTTAGCGCGTTACTGCCGCAGGGCTTGCAGAGATGGTAGTCGCACAGAAGGCCGACTCCGCAAACTCAGCAAGGCTCTGGCATTTTCATTCCTTTCTTGTGCTGGTAGTCGTGCTGCCCGTAATACTCCCCGTAACAACGCTTTCCGCAGCTTTCTTTCCGGTCGCGCATCAGCCACCCGCACTTGTTTGGTGCTCGAGTCATCCCAGCTCGGGTGGTATAACAACGGGCTTGCTTGTTTCTAATATGGGCTCTCCTTCATTGTAAGTAGTATATAGGGGATTAATCAAATACTGTTTCAAAGAGGGAGCCGAATTTCACCGTTTCACAGCCCCCAGGTTCAACCGGCCCGAGCTTGTGAGGGCCAGACTTTATGGTGGGGGCTGCGATAAGGTGAAATAAGGCTCCCTCTGCGAAACGGTATTTGATTAATCCCCTATATACTACTGCCCGAAGTCAAATTACCCAGTTTTCGCGCTGAAGACCAAAGTACTCAGGCAGAAGAAGCTGAAGTCTTAAAGGAAATGAAAACCCCAGAGAAGGCTGACACATCTGAGAAGCACGAAACAGCCATAGCAGATGTTAATGCTGTGAAACACGACGTTACCACAACAGAAGCTAACGCCAAACTAGAAGAAGGTAATACCATTCTTCACCATTTACTGAAGACCTGTTCAACATTCCCAAAGATACGGAGAACACTTGCTCACGTTCACCGTTTCACCCAAAACGCCAGAAAGAAGAATACAAAGACAGGCCCTATCACTGTTCAAGAATTAAAAGAGTCTGAGAATCAACTCTTCAAGTGGAGCCGACTACACTTAGATCCATCCGTCATTGACAAGAAGTTGATTCCAAGCCTGGACAAAGACGGTCTAATTCGAGCTCATAGACGTCTCAAAAATGTCAGATTGTTGCCACAAGAAATAAGAAACCCCGTAATCCTACCACGTGACCATCTACTTGTCAAGCTGCTGCTGCGTCATCTGCACACCAAGCGTGCACATTGTGGCTACAAGAGCTTAATTCATGAAGCCAGAAGAAAGTACTGGATAATAGGAGTCCGCAGCATGTCCAAAGCTCTCACCGCAAAGTGCATCACCTGCAGGAAACTTCGGAAGAAACCGCTAGACCAGCTAATGGGGCAGATCCCGTCCTTACGAGTGGCAGCAGGTTTTCCCCCTTTTTCCAACACCGCCATTGACATGTTTGGACCCTTGCGTGTTAAGCTCAATCGGAAGACTCTGAAAGAAGCTCAAGTTGTAATATTCGCTTGCATGAGAACAAGAGCAGTTTACTTAGAACTTGTCAATGACAAAACATCTGATGCCTTTTTGATGGCGTTCCGTTGTTTCGCGAGCACGCGTGGTCACCCGAGTGTTTGTTGGTCTGACTGTGGTACAAACTTTATCGGTACACAAGGTTACTTAAAGGAAATTATGTGGAACTGGAACATTCCCAAGATTCAAAGTGTTCTGAGGATTTCTGTTGTGATTTCAAATGGCTATGGAATATACCTCACGCAAGCCATCAAAATGGTGTCGTAGAAACTCTCATCAAGTCTGTTAGACAAGGTCTCAATGTTACCTGCAAGAGTCAAGCCTTTACCGAAGAGCAATGGAGAACATTTCTGTCGGAGACAACCTACATCATCAATGGACGTCCTTTGTATTCAAGTTCTAACGACATCTGGGAAGGTCCACCCATCACACCAAACAATATTCTCATGGGTCATCATCTCCCACTCCCTCAACCAGAATCTGAAGAAAGGGTCAACCCCAGACATCTTCTAAGAAGCACCCAAGATCAAGTAAACGAATTCTGGAAATGCTGGATGAAATACTTCGCACCAAATCTGTTACCATGAAACAAGTGGTTCCGAACCAGAGAAAATGTTGAAGTTGATGATTTAGTTTTGGAGTTGGACCCAAATCAGAAAAGATCACAATGGAAGCTGGCTCATGTCGTTGCCATGTATCCAGGAAACGATGGCCTGGTCAGAAAGGCGAGAATCAAGACCCAGAATAGTGAATATGACAGACCAATCCACAAGTTGTGTCTCATAGCAACCAAAGAGGAACTGAATTAGACCTAATTAGACCTAATTTCCGCACTGGGGCGGAGTGATTTGCATGTTCATTCACGTGTAAAGAAAAACAAATAGAATTCATCGTCGGTAATTGCGAAATCGCCTCAACCATGCATGGCGGGAAAAAACAAGTCATGTGACTTATGTTTTAAAAGGAAAATCTTATCATGCAACGGACATTCAAAGTCAAGTCAATCAACAGTCGCGAGAAAAACATCAAGATAGCGATCAAAGGGATCCAACACCCAGGAACACAAATTGTAAGTTTCGAAATCGTTTGTCGTGTCGATTTTGAACGTTGTAAATAATAACTTATCTCGTAATTATTTCAATTTCAGTTGACTATGATGTAACCACGGACGCAACGAGCCGTGTCTCTAGTTCAAATAAATGTGACAATGTTTGATCCCTGGTGGGCTAATCTTCAAAGTAAGTAGAGCCTTTAACCGCAGGAGGAATAGCATTTCCTACCCATGTCACACAACATTTAGCTATAAGGCAAATTAGCTCAAATTCTGACTCAAATATTTCTTAAGTCCAACTTTCTAAATCAAAACTAATTTTATCACAGTTTAGAGTCACCCTTGGCCTGATGAAATCAAGAATAAAATTTTTGGCATGTGCTATTTTTTGGTAATAAAAGTTGTTTAAACAACATGACAAGAGGCTAGTTTTAAAGGGCGAAATCTAAAAATATTAGATATTATAAAATCAGTTCATCAAAGTTATTTCTATGTTAATGTCATTAACAAAGTCTTTGAATATTACTTAGGGCAGTGGAAGCTCGATGAATGCAAAACTCTTTGCAATANGGGGGGGGGTGGGGGATGGATGTGATCCCCCCAATAAGGTATTTTCAAAATTTGGAGAAGACAATTTACTCTAAGGGGCTGAAACTTTCAGTAGCTGTTCATTCATCCTTTGCAGATATTTTGATATGTCAATTTTGTGTCCATCATTTTTTGTTTTCATAGCAACCACTAGCTTCATGTCTGTTTGGCCAAAAATCAACTTTTTTTGGCATAATTCTGTATTTTTCCAGTTTTCTTCATCAAATTTCAGAAATTCACCAATTTGTACATTTCATCAGCATTCTGACTTGATTTTGTATCAATTTACATTATTTCTTGACTTTTTAAGAAAAAGTAAAATCCATGATTGTAGTGCTTGTAAGGTACATTTCGGTGCATCATACATAATATACTTAAGCGCACAATGTAAGTTGGGAAGTTGATTATTAAAGCAGCATGGCGGACTTCTGGATTTGATTCGTGTGTCGCATCTGTTCATTGCAATAATCCAGTTCCATCAGTTGTGGAACGTGACATCTGGCAACGAGGATTGAAGTTACAACTGCCCAGACTATGGCGTCAATAAAGATAGACGATTTAACGAGTGTAAAACCCTTCGACCCACATGGTGAACCTTCAGGCT